TCTACTGATGTATTCTGGTACTTACCATATGACCATCCAAGCATGACATCAACCATTGGTGGATATCAGGGGGGGTCTCTACTGATACATTCTGGTACTTACCATATGACCATCCAAGCATGACATCAACCATTGGTGAATATCAGGGGGGTCTCTACTGATGTATTCTGGTAATTTGAGAGCCTTTAGTTGATCTATAAGAAAGTATTCACTTGATGAATATGTTTTGTCATTTTTCATTCACCTTTGGTTACAAGAATAAAATTTAGCCCTGATTCAAGTTGTACAATGGATAATAATAATAATAATAATAATATATATAACGTGCATATTTCATGTGGATATGTTCATATGCGCAGAAATTAACTATGCCATTCAATTAAATAAATTGGATAAAAAGAAATATAGATATAACATAATATAGTATAGTATATAATAATATAAATATATAAAATAAATAAAGTATATAGTGTATAGTAATAAAGATGTATACAATTCTAAGTAAAAGCTAATTTAAAAAGGTATGTCTTAACAAGTGATTTAAATTTCCTGATACACAGTTCATTCGTGATGGATGAATGCTCCAGTGGATAAGTCAATGCTGTCATCCAATAAATATTTTCACTGGATAAGGATTTATCCATCCAATAGGGCTATTCACCCTTTGTACAACCGAGACTAGTAGAGGAAGTGAGAGTGAATAAAGAAAGAGAGGGAGATGGTCTGTGGACAGACTCCTGGCAAACTAGCAAATACTTTGAATGTTGTGCTTTATCACAATGTATAATAATCACATGTTTGCATAGTATTCTTACTTTTAATTTGAGGGGATGGTTCTGACAAACCAACTGATACAAGGGATGGTAGGTCACGGTAGTAGAGGTCTGAATACGGCTTCCAGGACAGATCCCTAGTTATTTGGAGAGGTTTTTCATTTAATACTGTTTGCATATATACAACATCTGAAAGACTCTTAGTAATTTCTTTATTAAACATGCTAGCACTTGTGTCAACTGCTGTGAAAAAGATAGCCCTATATTAAATGCATCTCTGATGATCCTTGGTTGGCTAACTTTATCAAGTATATATGAAGATAAGGTATAGTGAGAAATGAATCCTGACCTTGATAAGGTGCAAAGGAGTTCTCCAAGGATCTTCAAGTCATCCTTTGCTAACACATCAAGCTTCATTTCCTGCATATAAAATAAGAGCAAAGACAAGATGGAATCCTCCCATCAAATCAAACCAACCAATCTTTGTCTTTTCTCATTCCATTCCATTCCATCCCAACCCATCCTGTTCAATTCATTCATCCCATCCCATCCATTAACCAACTACAAGTTAGAGACAAAATACCATTGTTTTTGTGTCACTAAATACTTTTGTAAATATCAATATGATTAATTTGTACCTCATATACCAGATGAAGGGCAAAGAGAATGGTTGGAATGTGGTTGAAAAGAAGAGCAGTGTTGTCTAGCCTGAAATGAGAAAATATTAAAAAAGAAATGACTGTAAAAAAAACTATATAGAATTATTGTATGTAATATTCAATATTGTATGAGTTTACTTGTCTTCAAATTTTGTGTCAGCATCTTCTTGTCTTGGCTTTGGTTTTGTTACAGAAGGGAAAAATGGAATACAACTAGGCTGCATTATCTTGTGATATGAACTGTTCATTAGCCATTCCCAGGCCTGCATAAAGACAAATGAAAGCATGCTTAGATATATGTAACAAATAGACATCAGTTTCTTATAAGGCGTAGCCGAGTGGATCTGCATACTACTTTGACAATGTGATGACGAAATTTATTGTCAATAAGAGGACAGACACATAAAAAGCTGATGTCTATTTGTTTTTTACAATAACAAAAACGATAAAAACTTCTCATTTTTAGTGATTAAAACAACCAACGGAAAGAGCGCTCGCCCGTTGACGTCAGCTTTATCTGTCTGTCCTCTTATTGATGATAAAAAATAACCAATCAGCGAGCAAGAAATTTGTAAGTTATTGTAAAAATTACATTTGGATGGATGGATGGATGGATGGATGGATGGATGGAGGCTAAGAAGGAATGAGAGGGGAATGAATTGATTAATGAAATGATTAGTGAGATGAGCCAGTGATTAGGATAGATGGATATATATTCTTACCACAAATGTACATTTTTTTGCTTTCTGATTGGTCGAGAGCTGTGGTATGCCAAAAGTGGACATGCCAACAAATTATGTCAAAGAATTACAAAATTAGTTGAGCATGGAGCCAGCGCCTGCTAAAACTGTTTTCCTTTTAAGCTTTTTGCATGCTTTTGTAGTGAAAAACGAACTTTCGATGTTTGATATGATGTGAATGGTTGATCAAATTGTTATGCAAAACCATTGGAAATTTATTAAATGGCTGGATCACACTGATGAGTGGATGGTTTGCATTCACTTGGTGGATGAACAGATGGAGAATGGAGGGAGGGAGTGAGGGAGAAAGGGAGCTAGCAGAAAGACAAACCCGGGGAGAAGGACAAACAAACTGATTAGAAGGATGGATGGGACAAAACAAAGGACAATCTACATGAATTAATATCTTTTTGCATGATTAAGTAGGCATGACGACCACGTACCTCATCACCCTCAACGTTTAATCCTTCTTCTGACTTAAACTTCTTGGCAGCTGGGGAATCCGACTGCATCTGCAGAATTTTAAAGATAATTGGCCAAAATGAATAACATTAACACAAAGAGGAAGGGGATTTTCATTTGACATTATATCAATCAAGGCCAACAAAACTTGGTGTTAATGCCTGAGATTTAAATTTCAATCCATTTGTAACCGGCGGCAAGGCGCTCAGCTATGAATCAGATTGCAAGTGGTTTTGACAAAAGAATTTATTGAAAAATTCACACAACTTTACAATAC